TGGGTGAGGCTGGTCGCCAAGAAGTCCGACGTGTTGCGGAAGTTCGAGAAGTGGCTGCTAGTGGTTGAACGGCAGACGAAGAAGTCGTTGTTGATGCTGCGCTCTGAACCCGGAGGGGAGATCCTCGGGAAGCAGTTCACCGACTTCGTGGATGGTTAGGGCGTCTTCCACGACCTCACCCGCCCGCACACCTTGCAGCAGAACAGCAAGGCGGAGCGGGAGATGAGGACGGTGGTCGAGTGGATGTGCATGATGCTGCTGCACATAGGCGTGCAGCACCACTGGTGACACCTCGCCCTGCGTTAAACCATCTGGGTGCGCAACTGCCTGGAGAGGTCGACGTTGCCGTCGGGGACGACGCCGTACTAGCTGCTGACCGGCAAGAAGCCTGACTTGACGCTGGTGCGAATGTGGGGCTGCATGGTGCAGTTCATGGTCCCCGAGCAGCAGCGCAACGGAAAGCTGGCACCGAAAGCCAGGTGGGGCCTTCACCTCGGTGTGTCGGAGGAGAGCAAGGGCTGGGAACTCCTCGACCTCACCAACCACAAGGTGGTCACCACGTCGGATGTGGTGTTCTACGAGACAATGTCGCTAGAGGTGTGGAAGTCAGAGCACGGGCTGGCGTCGGGGTGGACGCAGGCTAACCTGCCGACGGACATCTCCATGGCGACACTGTTATAGTCTAGAGTCTACTTAGGGGTCGCGGATGGCCATGAAACCGCCTAAGCAGAATATGATGACTTCGAACCGCCTCTGTTCAAAATGCCGTCACGATCAGCTCCGATAACATACAAGACTGAAAATTGGAATGACGTTAGCTTAAGGTGTCTGTTTTCCAACGCTATATTGCTTGCTTTCGTCAGAAGTGTCTACACTACGCAGTGAATGAAAACGTAAGCTCGGCTGAAAACGTCAATTTTCATTGATGCAAGGAAGAGGTGAGTACAACATTGCCTAGGGGACTCTTAAGGGGTTGGGTCATCCTGGGAACTCAGAGAAGGTTGAGTCCTAGGGGAGAAAGGCTAGAGAAGGATGGGAAACGTCCTAGCTAGGTCAGCAAAGCCAACCACACTTGGATGTTCAAAGCTCTACTCAAGGCTACCAATAGTGAGTCAAGCCAACCATGAGTCAGCTTGTCTTCCCACTTGCACCCCCTTACAAGCTGCTTCCAAGAAGACCACAAAATCCCAAAAGGAGGGTGGTAGAGTCCCACTTGACCACCTGTACTTCTTGTCTCATTCTCTGTCTTTGCACCATTGGCATGACAACAATGAAAGGGTGGCAAGGGAAATGCTGCCAACAGTGCACCATGACAGCTGTCACGCGCTGCTCCGATGATGGGTTGTCATGAAACTTGGTGACCACCTGCACAACAAGGCAAAGGACTTCCACACGTATTTTCAGACCAATCAAAGCCTGTTAGATGTGTCAGCAGCCGAAATGGTGAACTCGGGTGTTACCAAAAACTAGTAACACACACTTCCGGAATGCCATAAGTCTTGAAACTTAAAACGTTGCCATGCCTCGTAAACTGCTTCAAAATTTCTGTAACTTTGAGGGGTTGAAAAACACATGTTGAAGAAACTCCCTACAAAATCCTAGAAGCTGAGCAGGGCTTGAAGGCTGAATGGGAGTGCGATGACCGTGCCACTATAGTGTGTTGGCACAACAGACACTCCTATTGCTCGCCGACGTCGGTGAGCTTGCTGATGAGGACGCCGAGGAAGTCCCCCTTCTCTTACCCCTGCCACCCCACCCCTGGTGGCCGACAAGCATAGGTTGACTCCGACATTGGCCTCCGGCGATGAGGGGAGCAGTGGGGCGTCGCCTGTGGCGCCAGCCAGTGGCATCGCTGGTGGCCAATGTGGCGTCCAGCAAGTCAGCGTGGAAGCAGAGCTGATGAAGGTAGGGGAGCAGTAGGCGGTGGAGCCGGCGCCAACGAAGGGGAAGTCGGGGGAGGAAGTGTCAGTAAGGAAGCCACCGACATGGGAGCAGCCAGTAGCGCAGCCGACCAAGAAGCCATCGGCGATCGGGCACACGGTAGGGGAGCCGATGACAGGGGAGAAGTCGGCAGGGACGCCGACTTTGGCGCAGAAGTCCGATGTGGACAGGGGAGACGGCGGTGATGAAGGGGAGCTATCGGAGGGGGAGGAGTCCACCGATAGCGATGTGATGGAGGTCTAGGTCGACCAGCCTGAACTACGACGATTAGGTCGATTTTGAAGGCCGCCTGAGCGGCTAACCTACCACGTTTGTCTCCCACCGGCTGCCTACACTACGCTGCTCGACGACAAAGATGCCGACGTCGAACTGCCAGAGCTTGACCCCGACATGCACACCGACCCCGAGCACCGCTGGGACATCGCGACGATGACGGTGAAGGAGGCGTTGGTGAGTTGGAAGGTCACCACGGTGAAGGCAGCCATGGACGAGGAGATCCATAGCCTCATCGCCAACGGCACGTGGGTGTTGGTCAAGCGGCCCTCTGGGGTGAACATTA